GAGAGGGAGGGAGGGAGGGAGGGAGGGAGGGAGGGAGGGAGGGAGGGAAGGAGGGAGGGAGGGAGGGAGGGAGGGAAGGAAAAAAGGAAAGGAAGAAGGAAGGAGGGAGGGAAGGAGGAAGAAGAGAAGGAAAGAAGGAAAAAAGAAGGAAGGAAGGAAGGAAGGAAGGAAGGAAGGAAGGAAGGAAGGAAAGAAGGAAGGAAAGTCCTGAAGGGATGTGTTGAAACTGTGTGCACAAACAGATCTGGTGTCTCAATAAAATTTTATTGGTGACCCAGGCAGCAGCCCATCAGTCATGCTGAGATTTATCTGAGAGAGGTTGAATAGGGTGTTGGGCTGTCTCGGAGCCTCTGAGTGTGGGGTGGGCTTCTGTGTGTCACCTCTCAGGTATGCTTGTGGGGCGCTTGCACAGGGTCCTGGCTGGAGACGGCGGGCAGCCCGCCATCCTCCCGCTCCTGCTTCCTGCTGAGCCTCAGTCCCCAGGGAGTGATCCCCTCCCTCTTAGCATGCCAGGCTGAGGGATTGTTGATGCAGACAAATCGATATGTCAGAATGGGCACGGGCAGATTTCGCCTCTGCCAGAAGGCCCCAGTGCCCCCCACCTGCACCCGGCTTCTTACAGCACAGAATGGCCCAGCCCCCTAAGTCCTCACCTGCCGAAGCCCCCACTCTGCACCCAAAGTCACAGTCTCTGGCAGAGAACTGACCCAACTTCACAGCTTCATGCTGGATCTCAGGAGGGGTGCCCAGACAGTGAGACTCCCGTGTACACCCATCTCAGGCTGGAAATTCCAGGGCCTTCTCAGAGCAGGGGCAGATGCGTTCCCCACACTGTGCTGCTAGAAGCCTCACCCACTCCACAGCCTTCAGCACGTAAAGGGTCCAGCTTCATGGCTAACTTCAAGGATGCCAAGGCAGAGAATCATCCCAGTGTACAGCTCCTGGGACGCGTGGCGGCTCATGTGGCTGCAAGACACCTCCAAATTCCATGATACCGACAGCCCACTAGGAGCACAGCAAACTAAATGGCAAAGGGCATAGACACCCACTAAGCTCAATAAAGAATAACACAGAAGGTCAGCTAGCAACAGACAGCTCCGTAAACTCTCAATGACTGATTTCTCCATTGTGAAATAGAATACTTTTCACAAACTTTGTTTTTCTCAACTATTTTGATAATTCCATTTACCATTTTGTTGCAAAACAAGCGATATAAAATAAATCACTTTGCACTGCTAAGGGAGCAGGATTTTGGTGACACCAGTAGAGGAAAGATCCCACTGGTGATGGGATGAGTGTTGGAACACTGAATCCCCAAAACAACTGTATTACTTCGTAGACCATGATGTTTAAATAAAGCTAAGGGAAAAATGGTGGCACAGCGCCAAAACTCATCTTGAAGGGAATGCCAAGCGTTGAATTGTCTCAGGTGCACCAGGCTGAGAACTCCGGGGCCTGCGTGGAATATGGGCAGGCAGATTCTCGTGCCCCCCTGCCCCTGCTGGACAGCCCACCCCACCTGACACCCTCAGCACAGAAACAGCCCAGCTCCACAACTGAACCTCATCAAGCCACCAAACCACCAAACAGTCCCAGCCCCACAGTTCCAGAGCATACGGCCACATGTGTGGTCATGCGGCATCTCCCAGTTTCAGAGTGCTGACAGCCCCCGGGGAGCACAGTCAACTGGGTGGGTGGAAAAGTTGTGTGAAAACCCACAAAGCTCAAGGCGAGAAACAAGAGGACAGAAGACTCAACTAGCACCAACCAGGCCAGTCACTCCTCAAGGTCTGCAGTGACCCTACTGGGACAGATGACAACAGTCGCAAATTGGCTTTCACTGATCTATTTCATATTTCTATTTGCCATTTTATCTAAAAATCTATATAAAGCAGATGTTTTTGTGTCTGCAAAGGGGACAGGTTTGGAGGGCGGATGGAAAACCGGGAACACTGGTGGAGGGAAGGTCACATGGGTGGTGGGATTGGTGTTAGAACAATGAATGCCTGAAATGTCTATTATGGACAACTTTGTAAATCACCGAGTATAAGAAGAAGAAAGAAAACAAAAGGAGAAAAGTTGAGTACTTGCTCCTGGCCTCCTTCTGCTGGCTCCCGGCTCCCTGAGGAACTTGGTTCTCCTGCATTTTTCAAAGGCAATCAATGCGCTTTCTTAAAGGAACAAGGGAGTTTGAATGCCGCGGAAGCATCTGGAGGCGACAGAGGCTGCTTCTCGCCTCCAAGTGACCCCGGACCCGCCTCTGATTGTGCCCAAGAAAGACAGGAGCTTGGGGGTCAGTGGGCCCCCGCCCCAGCCCGGAACAGAAGGCTGGAGGTGACAGTGGATGTGAGGGACACTCATGGGGAAGTGCTCTCCAGGTCCCCAGGTGTGGGGTCGCAGGATATTGTAGTGGCCTCACCTTGACCTGCTCAGCCTCTGGCCTGGGCTCTCTCTCCTGGGGGGGTGGGGCACAGAACATGGAGGGGCTGGGGGGACAGAGCAGGCAGAGGACATGTGGGGGAGTTCAGAGGCACTTTCTAAGGAATGCACGCCAGGCACTGCAGAAGGGCGGAGGCTCAAACAGGTTTTGAAAGAACAAACGAAGAGAAGGGTGTGTCTGAGCTCCAAGGAGAAGGTGCTGGAAGGAGCAGAGGAGGTGTGTGTGGGGGGTGGGGAGGAACAGTGGGTGACACCTCTGCCCAGGAACTGGGGTCTGGTAACCTCGGGGGTGCCCCAGGGGCCATAGGTAGCCAAAGGGCCTCCCTCATCATCTCTGAAAACTCCAGAAAATGCAGGGGACCCCCGCCCAGGGACCCCTCACTCAAACCCCTGCTTTAAGATGCAACTCGCATGTGACTTACCTCTGTCACTCATCTTCTCCTGGAGGTTCTCTAGGATTCATGAACACAAAACAGAGACCAGACTCCGGCCACAGCACCCAAAACGTGGTGCAAAATGGGAGGTTTGCCTGCTCGCCTGAAGGGGGGCGGGGTGGGGAAACACTCACGGGTGCTGCTGGCTTCCTCCAGATGTGGAACAGAGATAGGGAACGGTGGCCCAGGACCGTTCTCATTTTGAATTCACAATTAGGTAACAAGAAACGGGTCTGAGGAAGATGAACAAAATCTCTCTGGGTTACGGGTGGGTCTCACAGTGTGAGGGGTCCAGCCAGCTGCCCTCCGGTACAGAGCAGGGACTGAAGGCAATCAGAAGTGAGAGGAGGAGAGCTGCTGGGAGAGTTGGGGGGGGGGGGAGCACGTGAGACCCCCCTGCTCACTAGCACACAGGCTCAGTGAGAAGGCTTGGTCTTTGCAAGGCTAGGGCACCCCAACAATAGGCCTTTGTTTCTCTGGGTGCACAAGGAAACTTGTGTGGGTGAAAATGGAGGCACTTATACAGCCTGGAGGGGAGGAGGAAGGGGAGGAGGGGGACAGGGAAGGGGAGCAGGGGTGAGACCCAAGAGACTGGACTGGGATTACGTCCTGCTTTACATCAGTTCAACTCTGCATATGGTGCCCACAGTGTGACCCAAACCTTGGAAAAAGGAGGAGGAAAGGGATAGGAAGGAAAGGACAGGAAGGACAGGCAGAGAGGGAGGGGTAGGGGGAAGGGAGGCCCAGGAAAGGGGGAAGGCCACCCCCTCCCCCCAGGGATGGGACAGGAGGTGAGAAAGAGGAGGGGGAGAGAGAAAGCAGGGAAGGAAAGAGGACCCTAGCAATGAAGGGAGGGAGGGAAGAAGGACCCTAGCATGAGGGGAGGGAGGGAAAGAGGACCCTAGTATAAAGGGGGGGAGGGAAGGAGGACCCCAGCATGAAGCCCACAGAGATACCCCCACCACAGCTGACTCCTGTCCCGTGAGCTCCTTGGAGGCCCCGAACGCAGCACCGTGAGCCTGGCCAGCACTGTGGAAAAGGTCCTTTATCTGCAGCCTGGCCCTGAAATGAATCTCAGCGTGTGGGCACCGCGTGGGGCAGGAATGTCCATTCGGTTTTGCCATACACCAGCCAGGCTGGCCCTGAGGCTGAGGGATGGGGGATGGGGGTGGTGATAAGCTTGGGGTCTTGCCTGGAAAAGTGTCACTTAGCGCAAAGTCATCTCCGCACCCGCACCCAGACCGCCCTGTCCAAGCGGCTGGGTCAGTGCCAGATTGGACTCTGCAAGCGGGAACAGGGGCGCCCGGGAGTCTCCGGAGCTGGCACTGCCGGGCCGAGTGCGCTCAGCGCCAGCCCGACGCCGCCCTGGGACGGGTGGGCTGTGTCTGCAAACATCCAGCACGGTTCCCTGGCGGGAGGCGCCCGGACCCGGCTACCTACCCGGGGCTTTGGCAGCAAGATCGATGGCGCTGAGCTGGGGCCAGGGCCGTTGCGAGCCCTAACTAACATCCCACACAGCGCGGCACGGGCCTGGCCGCACCGGTCCAGGGCAAGGGCGGGATGCTAGGACCCTGAGGCCCGGGATGGAGCGAGTCCAGGTGCGCTCCGCAGGGCGCACGAGCCCGGTGCCGCAGACAACGCCCCCAGACACAGCCCCCAGACACAGCAAAGCGCTGTGTATAGGGGGATCCTCGCCGCCCCCTGCCACCCTAGAGACCCCCTTCCCAGCCTCCGCTCACACTTCGTCCAAGTAATCCACTCGGGAATACAGAGGAGAGGGGGACGGGACTTGGGGGCGGGGGGCGCAGGACTGCCCGACCACCCCCCCCCCCCCGCCAAAAAAAACTCAGGGGAGCCCGGGGTACTCTTTGAGGTGAGGCCCGACTCGCGGGCTCCTCGAGATCCTCCTCCCCAAGCCGCCGCGGGATGCGTGGCTGGGGGGGCGACGGCGGCCGGGCGGGGGGGGGGCGGCGGGGCGCGGCTTCGGCCCTCGCTGCCCCTTTAAGGGATCCCCGAAACTGTCCCCCCTGGTCCCTGGTGCCTCGTCACATCCGCCGAGCGGGCGGCCCGGGGGCCAGCGGGGTTCCCCGGCGGGGGGGCGCGGGCCCCGCGCTGACCTTGGCCGCGGGGGAGGAGCGCGGCGCGGGCCGGGCGGCGGCCGCCAGAGGGGGCAGCGGCCACCAACTCGCACAACTTGGCGCGGGCTGGGGCGGCTCCCGCGCGTCCGCCGCCGACTGCCCGGCTCGCCGCCGCCTCCCGGGTCCCCCCGCCGCCCCGACCCCGCGGCCCCGGACCCCGGCCCGGGCATGGCCCTGGCGCGCGCGCTGCTGCTGCAGCTGCTGGCCCAGGGGCTCCTGCGCGCCGCTCCGGCTCCCGCGCCCCTGGCTCTGCCCCTGCGCGTGGCCGCCGCCCGTGCCCCGCGCCCCGCGCCCCGCGCCCCCGGGCTGGCGCTCGCCCTGGAGCCCGCCGGGGGGCCCGTCAACTTCTTGGCCATGGTGGACAACCTGCAGGGCGACTCAGGCCGTGGCTACTACCTGGAGATGCAGCTCGGGACCCCGCCGCAAACGGTAGGTGCGGGGGGTGGGTGGCGGGGGTCCCAGCCGTGTGTGCTGGCTATGAGGAGGGCGGGGGGCCGGGGGCGCAGGGCGCGCGCGCAGCGCTGTTGGCACAACTTGGGACGGGCGCTCCGACCCGCGCGCGCCCCCAGAGCGCCCGGGGACGCCGTGGCTCGGGGAGTCCGGGACGCAATGCCGCCACCGTTCGGCATCTTCTGGGGGTCCCGGGACCTGAGGGCTGGGGGCTCCCTGCCCTGCAGAGGGGCGCTGGCCCAGCAAGCCCTCTCCAGCCACTTCCCCGGGTGCTGGCGCCGCCTTCTCCGCGCCGGACTCCTCCGGCCGGCCCAGGCGGCCGCGCACTCGCGTGTACCCAGGGCTCTGGGCTCGGCACCGCGGGGAAGGTGGAGCCCCCGGACAAGAGGCAGTAGGAGCCGAGCGCCGCCCCTCAGCCTTTCTGCCCGGGTACGTCTCTGGACACACTTGGTAGCAAGACGGGCAGCTCCCCCCGGCTTGTAACTTACGCGCCACCCCAACAGCGAAAGGAATAGGTCCCCCAGAGTCAGGGCCCGCTGGTGGCTTTCAAGCCGCCAGCCCAAGTGTGACTGAGTCAGGGTTCCTTAGAGCGAGCCCTCACCAGGAGCTTCTGTTTGTGTTTTTAACGTTGTCATTTGGCTTCTAATTCGGCAATGATTTCTCCACAAATAGAACCGTGCTGAGGACTTTGGTGTGAATCTAATTGCATTATTCACCGCTCCAGAAAGATCGGCCATGCAGATTTTTTTCCCCCAAAAAAGAAACTGCTGAATAACTTCTAGAGTTGTTTAATGAATTTAAACCAAAAGACAAGGAACCCTCACAGCCTTCTGCCCAGACTTTGATCCTGGCTCCTTTGATCTCCACGTGGCCTTTGCTCTCTCCAAAGGAGGCTGTTTGCTGAGCCCGCTTGGGGAAGGAAGTCAGCTGAGAAAGCTTAACTTGACCCTATGATGTGGTTCTGCTGGCCAGGCCATGCAGAAGCCTGCGGGCAAACCTGGTGGGGTGTCCTTCACGAGATCTCACGGGATGGGGGTGGTGAGCATCTCGGGGTGGGAAAGCATGATTTCGGGGCTGAACACTGGGTCTCCTGGATGTTTGAGAAGAAGGGAGTTCTCTCTGCAAAGTCGTGGAGTTTGGGGCCGCCTGGATCTGTGGACAAAAGGAGTCCCAGACCTGGGAAGAAGGAGCAGAGCAGCCGCCTCGAGGACCCTGTAGCAGCGCATCAATGGTGCCAGGAGGAAGGCGCTGGCCTGAGTGGATCCCCAGCACCAGAGATGGTGGAACCCTGAGCACAGAGCCAGGAGTAAGCCCTGAGCACAGTGAAATTGTCATCCTCATAACCGTTAATGTTAAATAGTATTGATCTTTCATTAATAGTAGCTTGTCTTATTAGGGCTGTGGCCTCGATTGAAAACCATGACTTCTAAAGAACAGGTGTGCCTCCAGCACCTGCTCCCACACGGGCCCATCCCCCGCCCTTCCCCACCATCATGAAGAATACATGGGTTAGCCCACTCTGACTAGCAGGGCATGCATGCATGTTCACCTGTGCCGGATTCTCTCTTGCATCATGTCGCTCTCTTGCATTCTGGAGGTGGTGCTTCAGGGGCCCTGCGTGCTCCCACTGTCAGGATCACACCAGTGGCCCCTGCTAGCCGTACTCCTGGACACAGTGCTCACACGCCTTTCTCTGTGGCATTTGGGGGGCAGGGGTGGGTTTCAACTCCGCGGTTCCGTGCTGCTATCCACCAGCTGTGCCAGAGGGTGGAGCCCCAAGCACTGTCCTCTGCACAGAGGCAGCAACTCTGGGCCTCACAAGCTTGGCAAGGCAGGTGCTTCTGTCCCAAACCACCCCCCTCCCCGCCTCACCTCCACCCCCATCCTCAGGCCCCTGTACTCCCATCTTTACTTTGAGGAAAGCGGCTCCTCCCGGGTTACTGGTGAGTTAAAGCTGACGTGTGTCCAGGAAAGGCCGCTCCTGCCATCAGACTGAGAGTTTGCACTGGCTGGGTCTGAAGCTCCAGGGCCTCCCTGCCAGCCTGGCTGAGCAGGAAGCCACCCAGTGGCCAGATGCACGCGTCAGCCAGCTCTCTGCCACAGTGCTTTCCGGCATTGCCGGTGCGTCTGGACCTCCCGGGATGTCCCTGGCCACCCTGGGTGGTGTGAGTCTCCCTGCTCTGCTAATGGCCAGAGATCAGGCAGCTATTCTCTGCTGATCCTCCAAAGCCCAAAATAAAAACTGCTTAGGTGGAGGGAAATGCGGGCCGGATGGGAAATCACCCAGGCTGCTTCAGGAATTAAGTGATGCCTCTGGGCACTGTCGCCTGCCCCCCACCCCCTGACCTCCCAACACCTCAGACTTCTTTTACCCTGTTAGAGGGTCTGAAAGCAGGAGCCAGGGAGGGGGACTGGCCTGTCCAGTGCCACACTGGGCAGGAAGGAGAGGGGAGACACGCAGTGGGACAGTCAGGCTCCCGGGTTCAAACTCTGAACTGCCTCCCGCTTCTGGCTCCCTCCACTGTCCCTGCCAACGTGCTCGCGAACCAGCCTTCTCATGCCTGAGCTGGACAGCCCCACGTGTGGGAGGAGACTCTCCCCGCCCTCCGCTCCCCTCCTCTGGGGTCTGCAAGCAGCCCATCCCCCAGACCGGGTGGGCAATGGAGGAGTAGGGTCAACCGAGCTCCCTCAGGAAGATCCCTGTTCGAATGCGCTTCCGCAGATGACCGATGCCCGGGGGTCTCACTCAGAATAGGGGTGAAGTCACCCCCCCAGAGGCCCCCGGAGTCGACCAGGTTGGCATGGAGATGCGGGCGCCTGTCTGATACCCATTATCTGTGACTCTCTCTAGTGGTGGAGAACCGGCACCGGTTCGAACTAGCAATTTGCTCTTATTAATAATAATAATGGTGTTCTAAAGTGATTATAATTACAGCAATTTCCATTATTTGAGGGAAAAAGGACTTTCATGCTCGCACAGTGAATCCCACGGAAGATGCAAAGGTCTGCATCTCCTTACCTGCTGTGACCTCAGAAAAGCATCCGAGTTGCTGCTGAAAGGCTTTCTGGAATTTTCGCTCTGGTGAAGCCAGGGGCTGGTAAAGGCCCCTACTGACACACGGGCTGTTGAGGGCTCATGGTGTTGCAGGGAGGACCCGCCTTTTAGAACCAGCATAGTGGGTTGATCTTCCGCTGTCCTTTATTCGGGGGGTTGACTGCAGATGGGAACCAACTTCAGAGTCGGGTTTTTTTGCAAAGACCCGTGCTCTGCCCCCAGCGTCTGCTGCCAGCTCTCAGGAAGGGTGGTGAAGGGAAGCAGAGTGCGTACAGGCAGACGGTAGCAACTTGGGGCAGCTTAAGAGGGAAAGATGACGGGTTAGAAGGATGAGAAGGACAAGTCTTCTTCGGGGGCTAGAGCAATAGTACAGGAGGTAGGGTGTTTGCCTTGCATGAGGCTGACCCGGGTTCAACCCCAGCATCCCATATGGTCCCATGAGCACCGCCAGGAGTAGTTCCTGAGTGCAGAGCCAGGAGTGGCCCCTGTGCATCGCCAGGTGTGACCCAAAAAGAAAAAATAAAAGTCTTCTTACATGCTCCTTGGAGTGCGAGGTTCTATCTGAGATCCTGAGAAAGAATTCAGGACCAAGGCTGAGAAGGCCTGGCCCCGATGGCAGCCCAAAAGCTTCAGGGGTCAGGCAGAGTCTTGGGCCAGCCCTAACTGTGGCCTCTTAACTCTCTTACGGGCGCAGGTGGGTGTAGCGCTGAACGTTTTCATCCTCACTTAATCCTCACCGAAGCCAAGAGCTCCTTCAGTTATCTGATTTCACTTGGGGTTGGGGAAACTGAGCTTGGCAAGGCCAAGAATGTTCCAGACCCTTGTGGGGAGGCACAGAGCTGAGTGCTCTGAGACAGACTCGTGGGAAGGGAACAGGTGCTGGCACCCTTGTCCCCATGGCTGTGACCAGGCGTGCAGCCATGTCCAGCCCTGTCCTCACTGGCCGGCCCTCTCTCCTGGTCTGTGTCATGCGGTCGCTGTGCTAAATCACCAGGAACCAGGAGACTGGACCCTAAGCCTTGTCCCCTCCGTGGGGCTGGACATCACCACTGGGCCCCGTCCAGGGCTCTGTGACGACTCCTTCCTCCCCCGACCCTCCGCCCTGTCCTCGCCTGGCCTCTGGCCCTGAGTCAGCACCCTGAGATAGGGCCCTGCCACCCACAGGGTCATGCCAGCTCTCCCCATGATGAGTGACGCCCACAGAGACAGGCCTGTGGGGGAGGGGTGCCGCTGGGGTGCCCCTGGAACCTGTATGACAGAGCCCCCGAGGCAGGTCAGCACGAGGAAGAGTATGGGACAGGGGACGGCCAGATGGCCAGAATCTTCCCAGCATTTCTTCCAGGTCCTCCCCATTCTGGGAATCCGGGGGTCCCAGGAATCTCGACAGAGTCCATGGGATTGGGTGTGGCGAGCTGGGGGTTCACGCGCCCATAGGGACCATGGGGCAGGTGCGTCCAGAGGCAGCACCCCCGCCCCCGCCCCCAGCCAGTGCCCCCAATGCTGGCAGGAGCCTTCCCGACCTGCTCTGGAGGGTCCGCTCTTCTCGACCTGCCCTGGGTGGGCACAGAACCCAAGGGGAGAGTGACCACGACCCTTGGCCCTGGGGATCCTTCTGCCCTCAGGGCACCACCCTGCCTGGACTTTATTTTACACCTCAGACCTTCAGGGTTGGCTCAGCAGTGAATGTGTGCTGTGTGTGTGTGCGTGCACACATGCATATGTGTTGCATGTGTGCGTGTGTGTGTATGTGTGTGTGTGCAGACCTTCAGGGTTGGCTCAGTGGCAAGTATCTGCTGTGTGTGTGTGTGTGTGTGTGTGTGTGTGTGTGTGTGTGTGTGTGTGTGTGTCCCGGGCTCCATCCCGGCCTGGTGGAAGCAAATCCAAACATCAAATTCTAACCCCTCCACCAAGGAGGCCGGTGCAG